CCTCCCAACGGGTATATGAGGTTAAACAATTTCCCGAACACTCCAATAAAGTATATGAGTATAAACTATCTCTCCACTCTTCAATAGCAGTTCTAATGGCGCGGCAGACCAAGGTGCCGCGGCTAAGGCGCGGCAGCCTATGGTGTCGCGGCTTAACCGCTGCAACCTATGGTGCCGCGGCAGTTAAAGCAGGATGCTACAGCAGTTATAATACAGTTATCTGATGATTATTTAAAGTCCACGTGGCGGAGTATCAGAAATAGAACGTGTGCTGATGTGGAAAAGCAGTTAAACCACGAAAAAAGGTGGTTAAAAGTCGTGGGAGAGCGGTTTTAAGCACGATCAAACGTGCTGATAACTGCCTCTTCGGCCGCGGCAGCTTACACTGCCGCGCCAATAGCCGCGGCAGTGTAGACTGCAGCGGCCAAAGAGAAAACATCAGGTCGGTTATTTTGCCCCCGTTTCAACTGTGGTGCATTCCTATCCCTATAAATACCTCCCTATACACGAAATAAAGGGGGAGGGCATTTGGAGAGCAGATTAGAGCAGAGAGCTTTGAGTTTTGGTGAATTAGAGCAAGAGAGAGAGTCTTCCTTATTCACAAACATCCTCAAGAAGCTTCTGGCGATTCCTAGAGATCTAAGCTCTGACTTGATCTTTAGAAGAGTGAACATCTTACATCGATAAGATATTCGTTTCAAATTCTTACTTCGATAAACGAAGAAAGAATCATTAAACCCCTCACGGTTCAATCAGAATCTGTGATTTGGTGGTCCACGAGTCAAAGCGCTCCCGGCACAGGCAAAGATCACACGCAAGCAGCGATCCAAGCAACGATCCTGCGTTTGTTTCTAAAAAATTGTAATTTTTATTTTGTTGTGTAAAAGAAGTCTTATAAAAAGACTATCTCTTTTGAATTTGTTGTAATCGACCGAAGATATAATGAATTCCATAACAAAACCAACTTTTGACGCAAACAGTACCAAGGTATTTTTATCGACTGAGGAGTCGAGTGCCTAGGTGATTAGGTCTTCCATTTTCCTCTAGGGCCAAGAGGCGACTGTGGGAGTCGGCCAAAGGGTTGTGCCTTGATTTTACCCTGAGAAGTTACCAAGGTCTTTTTATCGACTGAGGAGTCGAGTGCCTAGGTGACTAGGTCTTCCATTTTTCCCCTAGGGCCAAGAGGCGACTGTGGGAGTCGGCCAAAGGGTTGTGCCTTGGTTTTATCCTGAGGAGGTAACAAGGTATTTTTATCGACTGAGGAGTCGAGTGCCTAGATGACTAGGTCTTCCATTTTTTCCCCTAGGACCGAGAGGCGACCGTGAGAGTCGGTCAAAGGGTTATGCCTTGGTTTTACCCTAAGAATGTACCAAAGTCTTTTTATCGACTGAGGAGTCGAGTGCCTAGGTGACTAGGTCTTCCATTTTTCCCGTAGGGCCGAGAGGTAACTATGAGAGTTGACTAAAGGGTTGTGCCTTGGTTTTACCCTGAGAATGTACCAAGGTCTTTTTATCGACTGAGGAGTTGAGTGCCTAGGTGACTAGGTCTTCCATTCTTCTTGCTGAAGCCTTTTAAGCCCGAGCATCTTCCATATCCATGTATCCGTGGACTTTGGACATTAGTTGTTCGTAGTTGGCGACTGGCTTTTTGGCAAGGGAATCCGCCAACTCATTGTCCTGAAGACCCGCCACAAGTGCCGACATGGCGACCGCCCTTCCAGGATCGTTGACTTTCAACCTCTTCGCTTGAAATCTCTTGAAGTAGGCTCAGAGGCTTTTACCTGGTCTTTGCCTCATTTGGATTAGTACGTGAGGAGGGAGCTTCTGCTTTGTATCTTCCAGAAAATGATGAATGAACTTATGGCTGAGTTGTTTAAAATTATTGATGGATCTCTTCTCCAGAGCATTCCACCAGAGTTTAGCGCTTCCTTTGAGGGTGATGGGGAAGCATCGACATAGGACTGCTTCGGATACTTGGAGCATATTTATTATATCAAAATAATTTTGAACATGTTCCAAAGGATCTCCCTCGCCTGAATATGTCTCTAGGTGAGGCATCTTTTCTCAAACGGGTATTCCATTATCTTGTCAAATAATGGGGTATTTCCATCAATAGCATCAACGATCGGTTTATATCCTCGATCGTAGGCGGAGTTTCCTACAGCGGTTGGCGAAGTTGAGGAGTCGTGACGGTGCGGTTTTTTGAAGCACGCTCCTTTGGTACGTCCTCCTGAATGGCTAGGACCGGGACTTTTATTGCCATTGCTTAGTTGCTTGGGGCGGTCCTCCACCTGCTTATGGTGGTTGGGAGGAGGTGGCGATGTGTTCCACGGTACTTCATGAGGATTAATTCCTGATCATCGATCCTCGGAGTGGTAGTCGCTAGAGGAGCTCATTGGTCAGGGTGGCGAACTGCTCTTTCAGAGATGAAGAGAGCATGTCCACTGTCTGCTCTAGTTGACCATGGGTTACATAATTTGGAGGAGGTGGCCCCGGGGAAGATTGGTTCACTCCTTGCTCAAAACCTGTCATTTTTCTCAAAAACGAGGAAAGTAGCCCCACGGTAGGTGCCAAACTGTTGATGTCCGTGAACACACAGTCGATGAGGGTTGTGGTTGCAGAGTTGCTGAATCTTTGAGAGGTTGAACTGTCGAGAAGGGGCCACTTTCCTTCTTCGACTTTATGTCTAGTTCTTAGAACTCGGGGTGGGCGGATCACCTGCACATACAAGAATCGCGGGAGTACGGGGCTTGTTTCCCCCGTGATACCTCCGACGGTCAAGTCAGCTGGTGATCTTGAGTCGTGTTTTAGGAAAGAACGATGTGTTTTTCTTATATGTGTCTAGAGTTTTTAGGTGGTAAAAAAATCCAACCTCTTTTCGGGATGAATAGCGTATGTATTTATAGAGGGCGCCAAGGGCCGAATCAGCATTTAGTAAGAATGCGGCTTATGATGATGGCGAGGGGTGAGATGGAGGATGAGTCACCCTCTGCCTGTTACGTGTCGATTGGTAAGTGATGGGAGGTCACTTCAGTGACATGGGGAATCAGCAGCCGTTGAGGCTTGTCTACGGGTGACGTGGAGTCACTTCTGTAGC